CCGGGCCGGGGGTGACCGAGGGTGGCCGGGGGTGACCGGGGGTTGCCGTGAGGATTCCGGGGAGCGGCCGGGGGTGCTCCGGGCCCGCGGCCGCCGCTCTCACCACACCATGGTGCTCTCCAGAACCATCTTGGCTCCTTCCCTCAGCACCGGCCCGCTCCACCGAAAACCGCCCAACAACGCGCCCGCCTATTGGTCGAGACGCCGCAGCCAATCAGCGCGCTCGGTGTAGGCGAGGCGCCGCGCGGAGCATGCCGGGAGCTGTAGTTCTGGGCGGGGCGCGATGGCGGCCGGGGGGACACGCGGGTGTCACCGCTGTCCCCAAAGGGCCGGGACTGTCCCCGTGACACCCCAGGGCCAGCGCAGGAGTGTCCCCGTGTCGCCAGTGATGTCCCCAATGTCCTCATGGGTGTCCCCAGTGATGTCCCCAGAGATGCCCTCACTGTCCCCAATGATGTCCCCGATGTCCCCAGTGATGTCCCCAATGTCCCCAGAGATGTCCTCACTGTCCCCGATGATGTCCCCAATCCCTGCAATGTCCCCATGGCTGTCCCCTGTGTCCCCAGGGCTGTCCCAGTGTCCCCAGTGATGTCCCCAATGTCCCCATTGTCCCCACTCATGTCCCCAATGCCCCCCCAATGTCCCCAATCCTGTCCCCAATGTCCCAAATGATGTCCCCAATGTCCCCATTGTCCCCAGTGATGTCCCCAATGACGTCCCCAATGTCCCCATTCCTGTCCCCAATGTCCCCCTGCTGTCCCCAATGATGTCCCCAATGTCCCTCTGCTGTCCCCAATGTCCCCATGGGTGTGTCCCAATGTCCCCAATCCTGTCCCCAATGTCCCCAATGATGTCCCCAATGTCCCCATTGTCCCCAGTGATGTCCCCAATGTCCCCAATGATGTCCCCAATGTCCCCATTCCTGTCCCCAATGTCCCCATGGGTGTGTCCCAGTGTCCCCAATGTCCCCATTCCTGTCCCCAGTGCCCCCCCCGATGTCCCCAATGTCCCCCCGGGGGCGCCACTGACAAGAATTCCAGGCCAGACACGGAAATTCCAGGAATTCCATTCCCAATCCAGGAGAATCCATTCCCAAATCCAGCAGAATTCCAGGAGAATCCATTCCCAAATCCAGCGGAATTCCAGGAGAATCCATTCCCAAATCCAGCAGAATTCCAGGAATTCCGTTCCCAATCCGGGAAAATCCGTTCCAAGTCCCAGAGAATTCCAGGAATTCCGTTCCCAGAATTCCAGAAAAATCCATTCCCAATTCCAGGAGAGCTCCAGGAATTCCATTCCCAAATCCAGGAAAAATCCTAAATCCCGGAGAATTCCAGGAATTCCGTCCCAAATCCGGGAAAATTCCACAAATTCTGCTCCAAGTCCAGGGAAATTCCATGAATTCTGTCCTAAATCCGGGAAAATTCCATGAATTCCGTCCTAAATCTGGGAAATTCCATCCAAATCCAGGAAAATTCCATTAATTCCGTCCCAAATCTGGGAAATTCCATCCAAATCCAGGAAAATTCCATGAATTCCGTCCCAAATCTGGGAAATTCCATCCAAATCCAGGCAAATTCCATGAATTCCGTCCTCAATCTGGGAAAATTCCGTGAATTCCGTCCCAAATCTGGGAAAATTCCATTAATTCCGTCCTAAATCTGGGAAAATTCCATGAATTCCGTCCTAAATCTGGGAAATTCCATCCAAATCCAGGAAAATTCCATGAATTCCGTCCCAAATCTGGGAAATTCCATCCAAATCCAGGAAAATTCCATGAATTCCGTCCTAAATCTGGGAAAATTCCATGAATTCCGTCCCAAATCCGGGAAAATTCCATTAATTCCGTCCTAAATCTGGGAAAATTCCGTGAATTCCGTCCCAAATCTGGGAAAATTCCATGAATTCCGTCCCAAATCTGGGAAAATTCCATGAATTCCGTCCCAAATCCGGGAAAATTCCATCCAAATCCAGGAAAATTCCATGAATTCCGTCCCAAATCCGGGAAAATTCCATGAATTCCATCTCCAGTCCTGGGAAATTCCGTGAATTCCGTCCCAAATCCGGGAAAATTCCATGAATTCCGTCTCCAGTCCTGGGAAATTCCGTGAATTCCGTCCCAAATCTGGGAAAATTCCATCCAAATCCAGGAAAATTCCATGAATTCCGTCCCCAGTCCTGGGAAATTTCATCCAAATCCGGGAAAATTCCATGAATTCCGTCCCAAATCCGGGAAAATCCCGTTCCCATTCCCAGCAAAGTCCCTCCGTTCCCGGGAGGAGCCAAATCCTCTTTTTCTCCTGGAAAATCCCCCCCAGAATTCCCAAATTTCCCCTTTTGGAACGGAGAAATCCCAAAAAAAACCCCCCAGATCCCAAAAAATTCCAATTCCCCCTCTGGATGAGGAGAATTCCCAGGAAAAAGAGGAATTATCCCAAAAAAATCTTTAAATATTTATAAATATTCCGTTCTGGGAGGGGAAATTGGGGAAAAAAACGGGAAAATTGGGAAAAGTTGGGGAAAAAATTGGGAAAATTGGGAAAAAATTGGGAAAATTGGGAAAAAATTGGGGGAAAATTGGGAAAAAATTGGGGGAAAATTGGGAAAAAATTGGGAAAAAATTGGGAAAATTGGGAAAAAAATTGGGAAAATTGGGAAAAAAATTGGGGGAAAATTGGGAAAAAATGGGAAAATGGGGAAAATTGGGAAAAAATGGGGAAAATTGGGAAAAAATTGGGGGAAAATTGGGAAAAAATTGGGGGAAAATTGGGAAAAAATGGGAAAATGGGGAAAATTGGGAAAAAATGGGGAAAATTGGGAAAAAATTGGGGGAAAATTGGGAAAAAATTGGGGGAAAATTGGGAAAAAATGGGAAAATGGGGAAAATTGGGAAAAAATGGGGAAAATTGGGAAAAAATTGGGGGAAAATTGGGAAAAAATTGGGAAAATTGGGAAAAAAAAATGGGAAAAAATGGGGAAAATTGGGGAAAAAATGGGGAAAATTGGGAAAAAATTGGGGGAAAATTGGGAAAAAATTGGGAAAATTGGGAAAAAAAATGGGAAAAAATGGGGAAAATTGGGGAAAAAATGGGGAAAATTGGGGAAAAAATGGGGAAAATTGGGAAAATTGGGAAAAAATTGGGAAAATTGGGAAAAAAATTGGGAAAAATGGGAAAATTGGGAAAAAATTTGGGAAAATTGGGGAAAATTGGGGAAAATTGGGGTGGTTTTCTCCGCTGATCCGATAAAAAATGGGAATGAAACGGGATTGGGAGGGAATTTGTCTAATATAGACAAAAATTCCAAGGGAAAAAGGGAAAATTCCTGGAAAAAAAAAGTGAAAATCCACCGGAATTTTTCCCCGAATTCCCCTCTGGGAATGTTGGAAAATCCAGGTGGGAATTGCTGAGAGCCCTTGAGCTGCGGATTCCCGGGATAAGGCAATTCCAGAGGGGGGAAAAAATCAGTTTTTCCTTCCAAAAAAAAATATGGAAAAAGGAAAAAAGGAAAAGGGGGAAGAGCCTTGGGAATATCCCGGGAAAATTCCCGTCCTGCTCGACATTCCATGATTTTTTCGGCGTAAAAAAGCTCGAAATTCCGGGGTTTTTTTATAAAAAAATGGGATTTTCCAAGCGGGGATTTTGGGGGAAAAGTCGTTTTTCCATTAAAAAATCCGGGATTGAGGGGGAAAAAAAGCGGCTCCAGGGGCAGGGGTCGCTCCCTGATTTTTTGGGGATTTTTGGGGATTTTTTGGGAATTTTTTTGGGGATTTTTTGGGAATTTTTTGGGGATTTTTTGGGGATTTTTTGGGAATTTTTTGGGATTTTTTTGGGATTTTTTTGGATTTTTTGGGAATTTTTTGGGGATTTTTTTTTGGATTTTTTGGGGATTTTTTGGGAATTTTTGGGGGATTTTTTGGGAATTTTGGGGGAATTTTTGGGGGATTTTTTTGGGATTTTTTGGGGATTTTTTGGGATTTTTTGGGGATTTTTGGGATGGATCCAGGTGGGAAATTTTTCCCGTCCCAAAATTCCCGGCCTGGGATTTTGTGGGAATGTCAGAGGTGGTAAAAAAAAAATGGGATTTAGGGATTGGAAAATCCGGGATTTGGGAGGGAAATCCTTAAAAAACGAGGGGGGAAATCCCAGGATTCCAAAGATCCCAAAAAACATCCCAAAAAATCCCCAAAAATTCCCAAAAAATCCCAAAAATTCCCCAAAAAATCCCAGAAAAAAATCCCAAAAATTCCCCCAAAATTCCCAAAAAATCCCCAAAAAATCCCAGAAAAAAATCCTAAAAAATCCCAAAAAATCCCAGAAAAAAATCCCAAAAAATCCCAAAAAATCCCCAAAAAATCCCAGAAAAAAATCCCCGAAAAAAATCCCAAAAAATCCCAAAAAATTAAAAAACAAAATCCCGCAAAAAATTCCAAAACAAATCCTACAAAAAATTCCCCAAAAAATCTTCCCTGATTGTGGGAAAAATTCCCCAAAATTCCTGCTGGGAAAAGGGAGGAGCCAGGAGCTTTTCCATGATTTTTTCCTCCTTTTTTTATCCCGTTTTTCCAGGGGATTTTTCCATGAAAAACCCGGAGCAGATCCCTGGGTGTGAATAAAATTCCCACAGGATTAAAAAAAACCGGGATTGGATCCATCAGAAATTCCCCAAAAAAAATTTGGATTAAAAATTCCAAAAAAATCCCCAAAATTCCCTCCAAAAAAATTCCCAAAAATAAAAAAAATCGGGCTCCGATCGGGAATTTTCCAGGAATTCTCTCCCGTTTGTTTTTGGTTTCGTTTCTTATCCCAAAATTCGGGAATTCCTGGGAATTTCAAGTCCCTTTTCCCGAGGTTTTCATCCCGCTCCTCCTCGGTTTTCCAAGGAATCCGGCGGCTCCGAGAATTCCAAGGGGGGGAATCTCGACGTTCCCGGTTTTTTTTTCCGAGGGGGATTCCCGGTTTTCCAGCTCCCAGGATGGGTGGGAGAAGAAGGAATTCCGAGGGAATTTTTATGGGTTTCGTGGGGTTTTTTCGGGATTCCGTCGGCGCCGATTCACTGGGAAGAGAAACCACAAAAAAAAAACCAGGGAATGAGGGGGGAAAATCGGGAATTTTCCCCATGGAATATTTGGGGCTTCTCCCAAAATTTCCCAGCCTGGGATGTTCCAAACCCTCGGGAATGA